CCATATATTATTAATTAATTAATTCTTGAATGAAATCGCAATAATTTTATTTCAACTCGATAATGACTGTTTATTAATGTCTCAATTGATAAAGATGTTGATATTACATAAATCAAATCTAAATTTCGATCACGAGAAAACGCTCGTGGGCAAAAAAACTCGATACAATATTTCGATCGTTTCAAAAACCCGACAATAATATTCGATCGTATAAAAACAATCAGATCGTTATAGCTTGCTTGATGCCAGATCCGAATCAACGTAGCCCAATATAATTTAGTTTTGTCATCAATGACGTATTCAACTGACATCTGTCATATGGTGTTCATTCCGCCATTGTCATCAATTGACGCCCTTCAACTTCATATGGTGTTCATTCCGCCATATAAATTAATATATATGGAGGTGTAGTAGTCCTCCATATTAATACCAATATTATCCAAAAATTGTAGTAATAATAAATTCCATAAAATATTATTTATATTTGGTTTATTTTATGTATGATTAATATCCACGACACTATGTGTTGTCATATTTATCGTTAATAAAATGTGATTGGTATTTTCTTATTTATAATAAAAAGAAAGGTTTGAAAATTATACATTTTGGCAAGTTCGACTAGGGAGAAAAAAAAACCGTGTCCGATCTGACACTTGAATTTCCTTTTGTTTTTCTCAGTGCTGTCACTATATGGGCCAATCTGTCCAGAGACATGTGATGCGTGTTGACAAGCCGCTATGCGTGTTGGCAACCCGCTACATCACTCCGCCCTAATGAAAAAGATTGTTTCGCATCTCTGACTGCCATTCTTGAACTTCCTTGTAAATTTCTTTTGGTTGAGATTGTGTGATAAATTGCCGTGTTGGCTTGTTGAGTTTGTTGATTGCTTACGTGGCCCTTCGCTGGTGTTGCGGTTGAGTAGATGTGGCCCTTCGCTGGTGAGTTAGCGGCTGAGTATATTTGACACTTCGCTGGTGAGTTAGCGGTTGAGTGTATGTGGCCCTTCGCTGGTGAGTTAGCGGTTGAGTGTATGTGGCCCTTCGTTGGTGAGTTAGCGGTTGATTGTATGTGGCCCTTCGCTGGTGAGTTAGCGGTTGATTGTATGTGGCCCTTCGCTGGTGAGTTAGCGGTTGAGTGTATGTGGCGGTTGCCAAATTGTTTGCTCCCTGTCTGCTGCCATGGTGCTTATTATCGACTTATTTACCATGATAATAAGTGATTTATTGAGCACGTGTTGTTGTTGATCTTGAAGTGCGTGGTCGGAGTCTCAGTTGTATGCTTAGAATGCTCTTCGAATTATGGAAGTTGTGAGCCATTTATAATAATTATTTATATTTTTAAAAATTCTTTTCTTAATAATTCTTGAGACTTCAATTAATTTTTTTTTTCTTGTGCTACTTCAAAATATGTCTTGATCTTCTTACCTTCTTGTATGTGTGTTGCTAGTTCACTCTCGGGGTCACCAAAATATGGAGGTGTGGTCCATATTAAATACCAAAATGATAGACAATGATAAATTTCATAAAATATTATTTATATTTCGTTTATTTTATATATGATTAATATCCACGACACTATGTGTTGTCATACTGATCATTAATAAAACGTTATTGGTATTTTCTTATTTATAATAGAAAAGAAAGGTTTCAAGAATTATACATTTTAGCAAAACTAATAGGGAGAAAAAAACCGTGTCCGATCTGAACACTTGAATTTCCTTTTTGTTTTCTCAGTGCTGTCCATATATGGGCCAATCTGTCCAGAGACATGTGATGCGTGTTGACAAGCCGCTATGCGTGTTGGCAACCCGCTACATATACAATTTCCTACATTAATATTTTTTAAATCGAGTCAAAAAATTGGAATTTATTAACCCAAATAAAGATATAGTTATTAAATCTACTAATGCAAAATTACGTTAGGTGCAGCTTATCTAAAAATTAATTTAGATTAAAATTACAATTTTTGTCGTGATAAATGATAATAAAATCAATATTAGGAAATGACGTAAAGATTTAAGTCGATAGAGCATTTTAATCATAATATTGATAATATCGATATCACAGCCTTGATTTTGTTATTTGATTATATTTTTCAAATTTTTCTTTATTGTTCTTAATTTTATATATTTAGGTGAATTTTATAATCTCCAGTTGGCAGATTTGTACGTTAAATTAAGAGAAACATATGGAGAAATAGTCCGGCTAACAGGAATAGCTAACCGCAACGACCTGGTGTTACTTTTTAATCCAGAACATATAAAAACGGTTAGAAAGATGGCATATTTTATATAAAATTGATTTTTAATACTCTTACATGGCCATATATCTCAGGTATACAGAAATGAAGGTATATACCCAGTTAGAAGAGGCTTGGAAAGCTTCGTCCACTATCGGAAAGAGTACAGACCAGAATTATTTAAATCTGGTGGTCTTTTAACGGTGTAAGATATAAAATTTATTACTAATCAATAATTTTGAATTTATTTTTGTGAGAAAATTACCAAGTGTGATGATTTTTACTATAGACAAGGCTACGATTGGCATCTGGTCCGAACCAAAGTCAACCCTGCCATGATGCAACCAAAAACAGTTCGAAAATATGTCGAACCTGTTGACCAGATTTCACAAGAATTCATAAATCGGTATGAATTTTTTAAATCCATTTTCAATCGCTAAAATTTCATCAAATCAATTTATGTATCTAACTTCTTTAGGATGATGAAACTCCGTGATGCCAATAACGAAATGCCCTCTGATTTCTGGATGGAAGTCAACAAATGGGCATTAGAATCTGTTGGAAGAATTGCTTTGGATACAAGATTGGGCAGTATAAGTGATAATCCGACTTCAGAATCTTTAAAACTGATTAAGCATGTTCATATGATGTTTGAGCTGATTTACCAGTTGGATATTTTGCCATCTGTATGGCAGATTGTGCGGACGCCTAACTATTATAAGTTGATGGACTGTTTTGATGTACTCAGGGAGTAAGAATAATTTAATCATTTAATATATCTATACATGCATTATTATATACTTATATATAAATAATATATACCAAATATAACTATCTTCCCCACTAAATTAAATGTGAAAATGAGCCGAATTTCTTTCATTTTCAATAAATGAAACATACTTTAGAATTTGTGCCGAACGACATTTTTATATGATTGGTTTTATATAAAATTACTTTGCAAAAAGTTAGAAAGATTCGAGAGATAAAACCTAATTTTTATTCAATATTGCAGATTACAAACAATGCAATTGATAAGTGATTGAAAGATTTAAACAATTATTGATCGTTTATCCATAAGACTACTAATCAATGTACGTATACCAACATTGGTATCCAAAATTTATCTACCATTACTTGATATAAAATAATAAATCAAATATTACGAAATAATTGAGCATAGAAAAAATCTAATATTAACAGAGCACCTGTTGTTGAATTGGCTGGTTCAGAGCTTTGTGCAGTAAATAAGCAAAATAGATAAAAATGCTAAATTTCTATCATTTGCATAATCAAGTTGCATTGACGCATTTTAACTGGAAAATAATTATCAGCTATAAAAATAGCATGATTTTAACCTAAATATTTTTTTAAACAGCATAACAAGTAGACATGTTTCGAATGCAGTTAAGCGTTTGGACGAATCGCCACCAAAACATTCTGAAGACGAGTTGAGCGTGGTGGAAAGGCTGATTACCATCGACCGCACCATTGGACAAGTTATGGCAATGGACATGTTGATGGCAGGAATTGACACTGTACGAATTTTTAAATTAGAATAATAAATGTTAAAACTAACAAATAGCTATTTTGCAACTAACAAATTTATCAATCATTATGAATCTAATTAGAAGAAATTAGAACAGAACCTAGTATCTCCTTGGAAAATAAAGTTTTTATAGAACTCACAACATTAACTATTCTATTAATATACTATCAATAAATTTTTTTATATTTATGATAATAAATTAATTTTTCCCTATTATTCCAGACATCTTCCGCAGTTTGTACCCTACTATACTATTTAGCCAAAAACCAAGATAAACAAAATATTCTAAGAGCGGAACTTAGAGAAGCTATTCCTGAGCCTAAAGGACAAATAACTAATGATATTTTAAGGCATTTGCCTTATCTGAGAGCCTGCATTAAAGAGTCTTTGCGAATGGTACCTGTTGCTCCAGGTAATTTAAGAGTAAATCCCAAGGACATGGTTTTGGCTGGATATAGAATCCCAAGTGATGTAAGTTGATGTAAATAAGAATTTCTTTATATTATTAACTTCCCGTAGGGTAAGTTATTGTAATGGGCCAAAAATCGAAATTGAAAATTTTTACATTTCTCGACGTTTTGAAGGTTTCTGAACATTTTGGCACACCTCAGAAAAAATGGATGTGTGTGTGTATGTATGTATGGATACAAATTTCCGGTCACGTTTTCGGGCGCACGGATCAACCGATTAGAATGGTTAAAAAAACATTCGATTTCTATCGATAGGGAGAAGAGCTGATCAGTTTTTGGCAAAGGCAGGTCCAGCCGTTTCACAGATACGGAGCAAAGAGTGCAGAAATAGAAATCGAGTTCTTGAGAGAACAGAGTATCCGATTTGAATGATCTAAAAAACATTCAATTAGTAATGATTTGGAGAAGTGTTTATTAGTTTTTGGCAAAGGCAGGCCCGGCCATTTCGAAGATACGGAGCTAAATATGTAAAAAATGGCAGTTTTTGAGAGAACTAAGCGTCCGATTTAAATGATTCAAAGAACTTTCTGCTTGTCTTAACAAAATAATTGATTTTGGAAAAAAAAATTTGTTTCAACTAATTTTTTTTCAAAAAATATTTTTTTTGTATATAGAAAATATTTCTGATTTCAATTGCAATTCTGACTTAAGTTCTAATATACTTTAAACAAATATTTTCAACTTTGCAATTCAGCTTATATAGTTCTTATAAATATTAGACAATGTTACAGTATTTATTTATAATAATCTATTTGAAAACATTCTGTATTCCTCGAACATTTCGTTACGGTACGAGAAGTTCCAGCAATTTGCCTTAAGGCACAATGCCATACACCCCACTAGTTTACTTATGTATTGAGACAAATTTGCATATTATGCAAATATACAAACCAGTGTAGAGATTAGCAAATCTACCTACTGGACATATATTTATATGCATATAATTTGAACATTAATGATTTGTTTTTACATTAAACGTTGCTGAATCATTCTTGCCTTCATTTTTACTATGGAATTTGCACTAGTCGCATAATTATAAGAATGACTTGGCAGAAGTTACAACCTTAAGCTTCGTCTTAATTACATTTAGTTACATAATATAGTAATAGTCTTCTTAGTTGAATTTCTTATAATTTATATGTCTTGGGCACAAATAAAAAAACAATACAAAAAATGGTTTTGATCTTAAAAATGACAATATTCGAAATTTTGCAATATTTAACCCGTTATAATTTATCACCTTTAAGATATCAGACTAAGATCTCCATGAAATCATTTCATAAACTTTTATTTATTTTTTGTTTCATTAATTCATTATCTTAAGGTTATTTTAATTTCCTCAGACTGAAATCCTTCTGGGTCATATGACCCTAGCCCGTTGCGAGTCCCAATTTCCCAAAGCCGACGAGTATTTGCCAGAGAGATGGCTAAAACAACGAGGAAGTTTGGCTGATCGTCAAATTGACAATGCAGATATTTCTTCCACAAATGCACATCCATTTGCCTATATGCCATTTGGATTTGGACCAAGGACTTGCATTGGCAGAAGATTTGCCGAATTGGAAATTGAAGTCTTCACTTCCAAATTGATCAGAGATTATAAAGTGGAGTGGAACCATGAGGAGATGAAATTTGACAGTAAAATGATTAATTTTCCGGTTAATCCGTTGAGGTATAAAATAACAGAAGTTAATTAATGATTGAGTCAGTTCTAAACTTCAAACGCCAACAAAAGTAACCAAGTTTGTAATATCATATCAGGATGAACAGATACATTCATCAGGATGAACAGTTTCGCACAAAATAAAAGTTCAACTGTGAGTGAACCTTGTATCGTATATAAATGTATTTATATTTAAATAAGCATGATAAAAAGTACAACAATTAGATGTATAAACAAATAAACCTATATCAAATCCATAACCATTAAATATATTTTATTGAAGCACTTTTGCAATCTAATAAACTACTTGTTTCGATAAGTAGTTTCTAAAACAACTAACTATAACTGAAGTTGAAAACATCAACATTTCACTTTATTTTTTTTTAAAACATAAATAATGTTTAACTTTAATGTTAATGAAAATTATGGTATCAACTTATGGAAAACTTGTTATAAATTTAACTAGTTTTTTTTGTTGAATTAAGATTGCTAATTTAATTAGATTTTATAAGTTATTTTTTACATAATGTATCAAGAAATTTTTTGTAAATAAAAATGTAAGCAAATATGTAATAAATGCCTTCATGTGATCAGTATCCAGTTAGCATATATTTGTATTAAATACATCAAATATTAAAGATATAAATGTAATTTTTTTTAAATAAATTTTGCTTAATTATATTTTTATCATGCTAGAAGGCAATTAGAAAAACAAGTTGTAAGATCTTTTAGAAAACACACTTACAAGTTGTAAGTTAAATTAATACATTAATAGAAATTAATTTTGGGTATATTTTTTTAGCATTTTTTAAATCAAATCCAAAGAATTTATTTTAATGACATGATTTGTAAATATATTAATCAATTATTGCCTAAAACTTTTAGATGATTTATTCAAAAATAAATAGCAAAGCAAAAGAGACTTTTTTAAACTATATAGAAACTCAATCAAGTCGTCTTTTCACCAACTATACAAATTAAATTTTTTATTCGTTTTGATGTTGATTGTACTACCATGATACAATATATACAAAATTATGTCATACAAAACATGGTACATATACATTTATATATAGCGTTTTGGAGGTCGAGTCAATAACTACACATGAGAATGAATGATATGATTATATTGATTCAGGAAAATAGCCTTGAAATCAATTCAGGCGTATTTATCAAATGTATTTAAAAAATAGAAGAAATGAGTTATACAACAGTAAATAAAAATATAAATTATTAATAAAATTTAAAAAAAAATAATTGCACCACGGGCAATATTACAAATAAATGCGAAGTCTGCACAAACATCTATTTTCCAGAATATGTACTGAATTCTCTACTGTTTGTTAGATTATTTTTCAGTTGTTTTTGCCTTATATCTAAGGATTTCCATGAATTAAAGTTTTTTATATAACTTTGTCATTTAAACATTTTTCTGCATGAGTCACTATATACCCCCATTTTTCGCATTTCCTAGTGAAAGAATGAAAATCTTATGATAAATGCTCCAGCTGAGAGCATCGGTGTGGCCCAGCCAAAAGGGTGGATAATTAGTGATTTTAGTAAAAAAAATGTTAAAACTATCGAAATGTTTTAATGTAAACGATTTCTTATATTTTTATCAAAAATTATAAAACATGAAAATATAATCCAATACTCTAGAAATAGAACATTTGGTTTGAATCTGTTCGTATGAAAAAGTGAAAATAAATAATAGAGATATGAAAAATATGCTAGAGATTGATTTTATAACGAGAAAATCTCAATTCATAGCAATAGAAATAGTATGTATTTACATCATGTTCACGATCAAGAGTAGGGAGGACATGTATACAACGGTAACAGAACTGTTTGCTAATTTAGTCTGCATATTTCTTTACAACAAAAGCTACGTTACTTTGTTCTCATCTGATGAATTTCGATGATTTTTGAAAAATTAATGATGAGTTTGAAAAAATATGTAATCAATCGGGTGATTAGATAAAATTACATTAACGATAGATATCTTTACATTGGTGCTATTTTAGTGCGAAACGCTCTGAAAATTTTGTGTTATGTGAAAAATAATAAACATGCAAAACGATTAAGCAAATATTTAGTGTAGAATTTTGTGTAGTCTATAATTTATTTAAGGAAAATTTTTAATACAGTTAATATGTAAGTATAAGCTATTGATGGATGTTTACAAAATTTTAATTAATTATATTGATCATTTTAACCGATATTGATCGTTTGTTATCAAGAGTATATTCATATTTTTATTGTTATTGTCACGTTCTTTTTATCAATTGTCTTCTTAACAAGTAATAGTCTTAAATATGTTGAAGTCAGATTTTTAATTTGTTTTTTATTAAACTAAGTTTTAGTTTTTTTATACATTAAAGTTTATTTTTATTAAATAATTATTTTTTACATTTAGCTAAATATGCATCGCTTACAAATAATAAGTGCCAAAATATGTGGATCATCAGTCACCAACTCTGTACTTCCACAAGCTGGTCGCAAATTTTTTTCAACGAATTCAAAATTATTGGCTGTTGCAGTGGAAGTTAATCAGGTAAATTTAAATTAATATTATTAATATATATATATATATATATATATATATATATATTAGGGTGGTCCTTAATATGAACATTTTCGAATTTCCTTGCTCCCAAGGGCTCAAATGGTTCCAAATTGATAAAAAACAAGTTCTCTAAAAACAATTCTCTGAAAGTTTTAGCTTTTAATATTAACTTTTGCCCTTGGGAGCAAAAAATTCGAAAATGTACCTAATTATATATATATATATTATTGCAACTCCACATTTCTGCCCAAATACCCCCAAATGAATAAAAAGCCACCATTTCCATTATATTTTTTCTTTTATTTAAATTTAGTATAGTTGTAGAGTGTTATAGTAAATTATTGTAAGTTTCGAATGAAACAACATTTTATTGAAACAAAAGTTAAATTTATTTTTTATTTTTATTTTAGAAAACTGCAGACGTATCCTGGGAAGAAGCAAAACCATTTTCGCAAATTCCTCGAGTCGAAGCACTTAAATTAATGGTGAATCTTTTCCCAGGAGGTATGCATATAAATAAAAACATGTAATTTATCCATTGAAAATACAATATTCGTTTTCATATTTATAGGAAAATTTTACAAAAAGAATATATTGGAAATGAATTATGTTTTTACAAAAGAATATGGAAATATCATATTAGCGAAAGGAACTTTTGGAAAACCTGATACTTTACTTATTTACAGCCCACAAGATTTTGAGAAGGTAAATTATTCATAACTCTATATAATTGTTTATAAAATATATTATCTATTAATTTTGGTATATTGCTAATATGCAGGTATATCGCAATGAAGGTATCTGGCCTTACAGACGAGATTTCGAAATTTTCAATCATTTTCGCAAAAATATACGAGCGGACGTTTATGGAGAGAACGCTGGTCTTCTTGTAGAGTAAGAAAAAATACATTATCAAGAATAATTAATATTAAAAGTTAAGCTAAAGTTATATGTAGGCATGGAGAAAAATGGAAGGAGCTTCGAGGTAAAGTGAATCCTGTCATGATGCAACCAAGAGTAGCCAAACAGTACATAACACCAGTTGAAGAAGTCTCGGATGAATTCATACAAAAGTTGGCTTTTAAATCTTTGTATTTGTATTTATTTTTTTTACATTCTTTATTATTTTTTAGGCTTTTAAAACTTCGTGATTCTAATAACGAACTGCCAGACAATGTCTGCAATGAATTTAACAAATGGGCTTTGGAATCAATTGCAAGAATAGCCCTTGATACCAGACTTGGTTGCTTAAGAGATGATGTTACTGCTGATTCAGATCCACAGAAAATGATTAATGCGGTAGATGCATTTTTTGAATTGACTTATAAATTGGAAATTATGCCATCGATTTGGAAATACGTTAAAACTCCCAAATATTATAAGCTAGTAGATGCTTTGGAAACCATGACAAAGTGAGTAAAGAAAAAATACTTAAACATATACATATACTATAACAAGTATTTCATATTTTTATTAGTGGATATTTCTATGGAACGACTAAAAAAATCTGAAAACCAAAATTTTGATAGAGAAGCCAGTGTCTTAGAAAAACTTCTTAAAATAGATCGGAAGGTTGCCGTGGTTATGGCTATGGATATGTTGTTAGCAGGAGTGGACACAGTAAGTATTTTTGTAATAGTTATTGCAAAGACATTTTTTTTAATTTTTATCAATTTAGACCTCGCATACAACAGCCATTCTGATGTACTTCATTGCAACAAATCCTCGAGTACAAGAAAAATTAAGAGAAGAAATTTTAACAATACTTCCCGAGAAAAATTCTAAGTTATCTTCGGATTCATTTAACCATGTTCCATATTTAAGAGCATGTATGAAGGAAGCTAATAGGCTTCTACCAATTGCTGCTGGGACTATTAGAAAAATGCCTGTAGATATAGTTTTGTCGGGATATCAAGTACCAAAAGGGGTAAGTTGAAGCTAAAAGTTGTTAGGTCAATAAACCAATAAAATAATTTGCCGTTTTAATTTTAGACTGAAGTCGCAATGAATCATTTCATACCATCCCAAGATGAAAAACAGTATTCTAAACCCAAAGAGTATCTTCCAGAAAGATGGTTAAGTAATCAACCAACAGAAGAATGTCCTTTTTCGAAAAATACGGCACATCCATTTGTTCATATGCCTTTTGGGTTTGGACCAAGAAGTTGTGTAGGGAAAAGATTTGCTGATTTGGAAATTGAAACTTTCATATCAAAATTGTTGAGAAATTATAAAATTGAATGGAATTACGGTGAACTGAAAGTTACAAGCAAGTTGCTAACGACGCCGACATCGCCATTGAAATTCAAGATAACAGAATTGTGAAAAATTATTAACATCCTTTAATTTTAATACAAAAATATATTTTAATTTTGTGTTTCATTTAGTAGAAAGCAGTTTGAAATGAAAATGTGCAATATTTAACTCTTGAAAATTAATTTTTTAATCATTTGTTTGAGAAAAATGTACAAGCAATAAATGCTCATCACTGCGTTGCGCAATTAGATGTTTTTTGTTATGTAATAAGTTTAATCTGTAATTACTGTTAGTAAATAATTAATGTAATCAAATCATAAAATCTACTAATAATAAAATAAAACATACACAGCCCTGTCTAATAACATCAAATCTAAAAGAGTGTCTAAAGTGGAAAAGAGTGGGAAAAAAGAGAAATATGAATGATTCGTCATTTTATAAAACAGTATTAAACAAATATTTTGGAGATACGATTCACGAATCTTCAATAATATTTTTTAACAACACGATAAGAAATAATTAAGATAATTTACGCCAAATATCTGTCAATAAAATACAACATTATATAAACCTGAGATCTGTGTTAGTATACAGTTCAATTTATTTTAGTATTCAGGCAAAAATCATACTTGTAAGTAAAAATGTATATAAATTTGAATGGTTACTTAAAACTGGTTAAAGGAAAATCTAAATAGTATGAATCATATTTTAAATTCATTAAGAAAATCCAAATTAGTTTATTGAGACCAATATTATTGAATACGTACTATTTCTGAATTATAATTTAATATTATAATTAATCATTATTTATATAAAGTCTGTAAGTTATTGTCAATAAATTTTTAGGCAATATATTATTATCTTCATTAAGTATTGATACTTAATAATAATATACTTCATTGTGATATACATATACATATATGTATATGTATATATATATATATATATATATATACATCTATATGTATATATATATATATATATATATATATATATATATGTATACATCCATATACAAATATGTATATAATAATTATATGTACCATCAACATGTAATAAAATCAACAATAATGTTCAAATTAATTTTATATATTTTAGGCAATAATAAAGCATGTTTAGAACAAATTTTAAAAAAATATACAAACTCATTAATGATGATTTGAGCAATAAAGTACATACCACATTACCGAGAAACCTAAGTATAACAACCAAAAAATATGCAGAGGCCATTAGTATTCAAGAGGTTCAATTCAATCTAATAATTGACAGAATTAATATTCAATTTAATTTAATAATAATTTATATTTTATTTAATTAGGCAAAACCTAAATCTTGGGATGAAGCAAAGCCATTTTCAGAAATCCCAGGACCTAATCCTTTGTTGCTCACTCTTTTCAGTTTAATACCAGGTAAAAAGAATAAATTCTCGAAAATATTTACATAAAATAATTATTATTTTATTTTTCCAGGAAGAGCATCCAAAATGTCATTAAAGGATGCCAACGCACAACTCAATAAAACATATGGTGATATAGTTGCAATAAAAGGAACAATGGGTCGATCAGACATGATCATTACTTATAATCCAAATGATTTTGAACAAGTAATTTTTAGTTAGTGTAAAATAATATGTAATTGTGTAGCTTCTTTAGTTTTATGTATAATGACCAGGTTTACAGAAATGAAGGTCCTTGGCCTTATAGAAGAGATTTTGATACATTTCGCTACTTCAGGACCCATGTTAGACCTGATGTTTATGAAGACTCTTATGGACTTGTTGCAACGTAAGAAATAATAATAATAAAATCCTAAGTGTTAAATGTTATTTAAGAACTTTTGGTACTTTTTCAATTGCTTCGAGTAGCTGACATCTTTCACAACATGTTTCCAACGCTTTTTGTATTTAAGTACAGCTATTTATCTTCTATAAATCTTCTCTATTTTGTGATTATTAGTTTTAAAAAATCTGGCTTTTTATTTCTTATTTTTCCTAGTCAAGGCAAAGCATGGAAAGAATTGAGAGGCAAAGTCAACCCAGTTATGATGCAACCCAGAGTTGCAAAACAATACATCACACCAGTGGAAGAAGTTGCAGAAGAATTTATTGCACGGTAAATTTACAATTTTTATTATAAAATATCATAAAACCTAATGATGCAAATAATATTTTAAGCATGCTCCTTTTGAGAGACTCAAACAATGAATTGCCAAGCAATTTTTCACATGAATTGAACAAGTGGTCGTTGGAATCAATCGCAAGAATAGCCTTAGATTCAAGATTAGGTTGTTTGAAAGATGATGCTCAAATGGATCCGGATTGTAAACAAATGATTGCAGCTGTTCAAGACTTTTTTGCTTATACTTGGAAACTAGAAATCAATTTGCCAGTTTGGAAAATTTTTAAAACATCCTCATTTAACAAATTGATGAATGCTTGGAATACTATGATCAAGTAAGCAAATATAGTTCCTAATGATGATATATAATTGCTAATACTTTCAACTATTTTTTATGAATTATTTTGATTAGTGTTTCATTTAAAAAAATTGAAGAAGCCAAACAAAGAATTCAAAATAACCCAGAGCCAACAACCGAGCAGGAAGCAAGTGTACTAGAAAAATTGTTAAAAATTGATCCTAAACTTGCAGCAGTCATGGCAATGGATATGCTTTCAGCAGGCATTGATACTGTAACTAATTCATTTCCTATATTTAAATGAATGTTTATGATTTAATATGTTATTTTACAGACATCTAACAGTGTGGCAATCCTGTTATATTTTCTTGCAACGAATCAATCTTGCCAAGATAAATTGCGACAAGAAATTTTAACAATATTGCCAGAGAAAAATTCGAAGTTGTCATTTGATTCTTTTAATCATATTCCATATTTAAGAGCATGTATGAAAGAGGCGACAAGGATACTTCCAATTGCTGAAGGCAATTTAAGAAAATTGCCTGTTGACCTTGTTTTATCTGGATATCAAGTTCCAAAAGGGGTAATATATTAGTGGAACCAAAAGTTGGGACTTCAGTATAATCATTTTATATTTGTTTTTAGACGGAAGTAGTTATGAGGCACTCGACAACATCTGTAAAAGAAAATCAATTTCCTAATCCGGAAAAGTTTATGCCAGAACGTTGGTTAAGTGCTGATAAATCCCAGGGTTGTCCTTTGGCAAAAAATGCACATGCTTTTGCCCATATGCCATTTGGGTTTGGTCCTAGGATGTGTGTTGGAAGAAGATTTGCAGATTTAGAAGTTGAAATACTGATTACCAAATTGCTTAGAAACTATAAGGTAGAATGGAATTATGGAGAGCTGGAAACATCTAGCAGATTGATTACACATCCTGAATCGCCATTGAAATTTAAAGTAACAGAGATATGACATGTAGTCTGATATTGATTTGTATTTGTATAAATGTAATTATATAATTATATTTCATACAAAAATGACTCAAATTCAATTTGCTGTAGTTATTATTGTATATTTTTATATCACTTCAATATATAAAGAATCATTTCGTATAACACTGTCGAAAATAAACAAAAAAATATAATATGCATTATGATTTCTTTGAAATAAATTATCTGTGATAAAATGAGTTTATCAATTTTAGTGATAAGATAATCAAAAAAAATTAAATATTATTGGCGCATATAATTTGATTCGTAAATGTATACGCAGCCCTGGTTAATTTAGAGCTAAAATTAAATTCTGCCAGTGGGGGGAACTCTTGGAGGCCAAAGGTGTTTATACTCGAATGAAACAAGTTACATTCGGAAAAATGTTCCTTGTGTAAATATTCGATAATATATTTGCAAAAGACGAGAATTTGAAGTTATATGTTCATTAATAATATATTACGATGATACAATTTGTTAATATGTGATATACCCAGTGCTTTAAATTGCAAACCGCATACATTGTGCTGGTTTCAAGAGTCGATTTATGTAATTTTGAATAAATACATTTGTAATTTATTTATATGTTTTAATAAATAGTGTTTTTAAAGTATAAAATGTTTAAACCACGATTATATTATTGTTTTAATGTCTCAAATGGTTTTGACAAGCCATACAAATATTTTAAATCAAGTGCCAAGTTATTAACAGTTTCCGTTCAGGCACATAAGGTAAGTAAATCTTAAATAAATATATATATATATATATGTGTGTATATATGTATGTATGTGTGTTTACAAAAATATTAATTATTTAAAGGAAAATGGATCACAAAAACCGTTAAATTGGAATGAAGCAAAACCCTATTCAGAAATCCCAGGACCTAAATCGTTTTGGGAAGGAGTGCGAAATATGCTTCCTGGAGGTAATTAATATTGCTTATATAATTAATATACTAGTAATAAACAATATACAGTTATACAATTTTTTCAAATAATTATAGGAAAATTTTACAAAAAATCATTAAAGGACATGCATGTTATATTAAAACAAGAATATGGAGATATTACTATTCTGAAAGCATTTTTGGGGCAACCTGACATAGTGATGTTATTCAATCCGCAAGATTTTGAACAAGTAAATACTTTGACTTAAAAAAATTATGAACACTATGACTTTGAAAAATATGTGAATGCTTGAAAAGTTTGTGACTAAAATATTTGTGAATAATAATCTTTCCTTTATTTTAATAGGTTTACAGAAATGAAGGTCAGTGGCCTCACAGAAGGGATTTTGAAACTTTTGTACATTTTAGAAAAAAATTGCGAACTGATATTTATGGAGAGAATGCAGGTTTGTTGGCAGAGTAAGTGTGCATATTTATAATAAATGCGTACATTTATACTAGTTTTGTTATTTTTGTAATTATTTTATAAGACAGGGTGAGAGATGGAAAGATTTAAGAACCAAGGTGAACCCAGTCATGATGCAACCAAGAAATATTAAACAATATATTGCTCCTGTAGAAGAAGTTACTGACGAATTTATAGCTAGGTAAATATATGTAAAAATTATACAAATGCAATTAATTCTTCTATTAATAAGATAATTATTGCAGAATGAACCACTTACGTGATTCAAACAACGAAATGCCAAAAGATTTCAGTCATGAATTGAATAAATGGTCACTGGAGTCTATTACACGAATCGCCTTAGATACCAGATTAGGTTGTCTGCAAGATGATTCACGTGTCGATGAGGATTCTAAAAAAATGATACAAGCTGTACATGATTTCTTCGATTTAATATTCCAATTAGAAATTCTTCCATCGATATGGAAATACGTTAGAACTCCAGCTTATCACAGGTTGATGAGAGCCTTAGATACCATGACCAAGTAAAATAAATTGTGATTGATAATAATTTATGAGGCCGTTGTTAATTTCGGTATTTTTTAAGTGTTTCATTGAAAAAAGTTGACGCTGCAATAGAACGGATTAACACATCTCAAGATTCAAAATCTGAACATGAAGCAAGTGTTTTGGAGAAACTTCTGAAAATTGATCGTAATGTTGCTATAATTATGGCAATGGATATGTTATTAGCAGGAGTTGATACCGTAAGATTGCACATATTACATTTTTAGTATTTGTTTTTGAAATATTTTTTATAACTTTGCAGACATCTTACACTGCAGCTATACTATTGTATCACTTAGCAGTTAACCAGGAGTGTCAAGAAAAATTAAGAAAAGAGATCTTCACAATTCTACCTCAAAAAGATGCTAAGTTAAACCAGGAATCGTTCAATCATATACCTTATTTGAGAGCTTGTATGAAAGAATCACATAGAGTTTTGCCAATTGCTGGAGGAACTGTAAGAAGATTACCTGTTGATCTTGTCTTATGTGGATACCAAGTTCCAAAAGGGGTAATAAAATATCCATGTCCATATAAAATATTCTTCTAGGTATTATTTTCAATATGTATAATTCTTACAGAGCGAAGTCGTTATGAGTCACCTTTTGGCGACTATGGAAGAAAATCAATATACAGATTCAACAAAATATATTCCAGAACGATGGTTGAATGAAAAAAATGCTCCTCAATGTCCTTCAGCCAAGGAAGCTCATCCTTTCGCTTATATGCCCTTTGGGTTTGGTCCTAGAAGTTGCGTTGGAAGACGTTTTGCAGAATTGGAAATCGAAACGTTTATTGTTAAATTATTGAGAAATTACAAAATCGAATGGAATTATGGAGAGATGAAAACAAAAAGCCAAATACTTACGATTCCTGTGTCACCGTTACGATTTAAAATGACAGAATTGTGAATTAAAAATACTATTATAAATGCTTCAAGGTCAAAGAAAAAAGTCGATCAATCCTGCATTATATTTTAAATATATACTAATTTTTCACTATAAATTTCAAATGAAGTAATTATTGAATTGCGATCACAAAGTTTATTATAGGCAATTTATATACAAAATAAAACTTAAATTTATTGTAAAATTTACATTCTGTAAATGTAATAAATAAATATTTAAATTATATTAAATATCCCACCAATAAATTGATTACTAATTACCTTTTATTAGATTTTGTGTGTCAGCATTGAAACGAATAATTTCTAAAAATATTTTAGCTATTACATGTGATTTTTGTGAAGATTTGATTTTTTGCTCGTAATCATTACGATATATTAATCTAATCAATATGAGAAGATGATTTTGTACTGACGTACAACATCAGAACATATTTATATATGAAAAGTGTTATCAATTTTTCATAATACATAAACCTATTGTTATGGATACAGTATTATCAAATATGAAATATAGTTTGCAAAGATAATAGTAAAAAATCTGATCATATCCTATACAATTTTTTTGTTTTATTAAGCAAATGTATTTAATTTAATTAAGCTTAAGTTAATAAAAAAATACCTTAATAATTAGAAGTTTTATTAAAAATTAACTTAATATAAAAAATGTTTACTAAAAGAGGATCCGTTCTGTGTAAAAACTGGTGCAAGCATAGTCAAAGCATTACAGTGAAAAATATTTCAAGTTCTCAAAAATATTTGGCCGTTGCAGAACCGAAGGTAATTTTATAACTCATAAAATTAAATAATACCAATTTTTATATATTATTTATTTTGCAAGCAAAAAGTGTCTACTATACCACTTCAGTGGGATGAAGCTAAACCGTACTCTAAAATACCTGGAACAAAATCGGCTCTTGAGACAATGAGAAATTTTTTACCAGGAGGTAAAATTAATATTATTGTTCATACTAATTTATGCAATGCACTATCTGTATTTAATATCAGGCAAATATTATAACAAATCACTAAGAGAACTTCATAATTCGATGAACCATGAGTATGGTGACCTGGTTAACTGGAAAGGAGTTCTGGGAAAGCCTGATTTTATTTTGGCATTTAATCCTAAAGATATAGAACAGGTATGAGAATTAGTAATATTAGTATATTACTGATTTATTACTAAAAAGAAAGTTAAACAAAACACGCAATTTATTTAAGGTGTATCGTAATGAAGGACCGATGCCAAACAGAAGGGAATTTCAGATATTTTCTTATTATAGAAAAAAACTTCGCCCAGAGATTTATGGAGAATATGGTGGTCTTCTTATCGAGTGAGCATTACTTGCATCAAAGTATCTGCTACAACTGCATTTTTTATTAAAAGTTCATCATATTTATTTATATTTTAAGGCACGATGAGAAATGGAAAGACATTAGAGGAAAAGTGAATCCAGTCATGATGCAACCGAGAGTTGTCAAGCAATATATAAAATCTGTGGAAGAAGTATCTGATGAATTTATAACAAGGTATAAAAATCAAGAATCTCATTGAAGTAAGCTTTGATATTTATTTTTTGATTATTAAAAGAATGGTGCGTCTGCGCGATTCAAATCAAGAAATGCCAGCAGATTTCATGGACGAATTAAATAAGTGGTCCTTGGAATCTATAGGCAGTATTGCTCTGGACGCAAAATTAGGATGTTTGGAAGACAATGTTAGCGCTAATTCAGATTCAGGAAGGATGATCCAAGCTGTACACGACTTCTTTTATTTAACGTTTAAGTTAGAAATTTTACCTTCTCTTTGGAAATACATTCCTACTCCTGGCTTCAGGAAATTGACTGCTGCTTTGGACGTAATGACAGAGTATGAATTTAAAGATACATATTAGCATATTTTTCATATGTGAAAATATCATTTAAATAAATTTTATCTTGCAGAATTTCAGCAAAAAAAGTTGATGAAGCAGTTGAACGTATCAAAAGTAATCCTAATCCTAAATCTGATTCAGAAGCAGGCGTATTGGAAAAATTACTGAAAATAGATAGAAAAATGGCTGTAGTCATGGCTATGGACATGCTACTAGCAGGAGTCGATACCGTAAGAATTTGTTTTTTTAATATTTCATAAAATACTACAAATTGTTACCTTATTGTGGTTTTAGACATCAAATACTACTGCTATACTACTTTATTTCCTTGCTGCAAATCAAAAATGCCAAGATAAACTACGATCAGAAATATTGACAATTTTACCAAACAAGGATTCTAAATTATCAAGTGATTCGTTTAAGAGAATACCCTACTTAAGAGCTTGTATGAAAGAAGCAAATCGGATAATTCCCATATTAGGTGGTACTGTCAGAAAACTGCCTGTAGACGTTGTTTTATCCGGTTATCAAGTTCCGAGAGGGGTAAGTTCAGTCACTCAAACTTTATCAACCTTGATGCCTACACATATATCTTTTATCATTATAGACTGAAATAGTGGTAAGTCATCAAACAGCATCCATGAACGAAAACCAATTTCCTGATCCCAAAAAGTATAAACCTGAGCGATGGTTAAATGCAGAAGAAGCAGAAGGTTGCCCTTTGGCAAAAAATGCAAACCCTTTTGCTCACATGCCCTTTGGATTTGGACCACGCAGTTGTGTCGGAAAAAGATTCGCTGATTTAGAAATTGAAACTTTCGTAATGAAATTGTTTAGAAATTACAAACTTGAATGGAATTATGATGAATTGAAAGTAGCTAGTAGACTGATAACGCAACCTGTATCACCACTGAAATTTAAGCTGACAGAAGTTTAATTAAATATATTTTGTGATATCTATAATAATAAATAAGTTTTTAATAAATCAATGAAAATTTCAGTGTAGCCAAAATAACCTTTAAAAAAATCTTTCACCAATATATAATTAATATTTTTATAAAAAAATTCCAATAATAGAACTACCGGCAAGAGTTTGTAAAGTAAATCATTTCAAGAGAAGTTTTAAAGTCAAAAATGTATTTTTTCATCAACATCAATATATAAATGGTTGCAGAGATAACTTAAATCGTGCAATTTTTTCAAGGAGAGATATAAATAAATTTTGATCACAATAAAATATTTATCCAGGTCGTAAATTGGTATCCCAAATATTAGACAAGACATTAACAAAACCAAATGCGAAGTTGAGTTTTGCATTTTTGGTGTTATAGAGTAAAAAGTAGATTAATTATTGACTATTTTGCAGTGATTTTTTCGCCTTTTTGTATAATAAACTATCTGAAATGATAAAATTTTGCTTGTAATGATCACTGTGCATATCAGATATAACGAGTAGAGGGGAATTGTCGATGTGAATACGCGGCCTTGTAAACATCAACTGAATTCATTGAGACTCATAGTTTAATATATAAAATATTATTTTGTTGGAACATAAACAGTATTATATATAGTCGTAAATTAAAAAAATATTTTAAAACTTTCGTGAAGAATAAAAAATAATAAAAAATTACTTAATTACGAATAACAGTTCTTTGTGCAAATTGTTGATTTGAATGTTGATATTCACCAATTAAAATGTTTCGTGTAAAATGTATCTCTTTATGTGAATCTACAAATAATATGTTATTCAACTTTTCAAATATTCTGAATACATCAAAGAAGCATTTATCAAAATGTGCTAGAAATTTAACAACAATCGCGGAAGTAAAAAATGTAAGTGATTATAAATTTTGAAATATTCATATGGTTATTTATTTATTTATTGTTTTGGTTAAAAAGGATAATGTATCAGAAAAGCCATTGCTATGGCATCAAGCAAAACCATATTCTGAAATTCCGGGGACAAAAACGACTTTGGAAAATATAAGAAGTTTCTTACCAGGGGGTAAATAACAGTTTTTGCAAAATTTTATATGAATGTATATAAATATATACATGTGTGTGTAAATATTATTTAATATTAATACTTAATAACATTTATAATAATAATAAATATTAATGTACATTTTTATCTTAAAATAGCTTGAATAGTCAAATTACATATTACAGTATTTTTTTTCAATCACATTTATTTTTACAACAATTTATTTTAGGTAAATTATACAACGTATCATTAAAAGATCTTCACCAAACAATGAATAAGGAGTATGGAGACTTAGCAAAATTGAAAGGATTTCTTGGAAAACCAGATTTTGTATTTGCATTTAATCCCAAAGATATTGAAAAGGTATGAATAATACATAATACTTTACTGTATATTTTTAATATATTATATTATTAAAAATTTAGGTCTATCGTAATGAAGGATTATGGCCTAACAGAAGAGAATTCCAAGTTTTTGCATATTTTCGAAGAAATATTCGTCCTGATATTTATGGTGACAATGCTGGTCTTCTTGTGGAGTAATCATTATTTTATAATAATACATCGTAAAATATATATTTTTGATAACATTTTTTTATAAATCAGACATGAAGAAAAATGGAAGGAATTACGAGGAAAAGTCAATCCTGTCATGATGCAACCGAGAGTAGTCAAACAATATATCAAATCAGTAGAGGATGTTTCTGACGATTTTATCTCAAAGTAAATATTTACCATTGTTTTAAAAAATGTAGAAATTAATAAAGTATCGAATAATAGGATGGCGCAGATGCGAGATTCAAAACAAGAATTGCCCAGCAATTTTATTATTTATTTGAACAAATGGGCTTTGGAATCTATCAGCAGTATTGCTTTGGATACCAGATTAGGATGTTTAGAAGATAGTGCTGATAAAAATTCTGATTCTGAAAAAATGATTCGGAGTGTGCACGATTTTCTCGAAATGACTTTTAAGTTAGAGTTTTTTCCATCGTTCTGGAAGTATGTATCCACACCCGGTTTTGTTAAATTAATGAATGCCTTAGATACAATTACAAAGTAAGTAATCAATAATTAAATGAATCATTAACATTAGTTGCGATACTTTTATAATAAAACATTTCAGTATATCTCTGAAAAAAGTTGATGAAGCTGTAGAACGAATAAAAAATAATCCTAATGCAAAACCAGAATCAGAAGCAAGTGTTTTAGAGAAACTTCTCAAGATTGATAAAAAAGTTGCTGTAGTAATGGCCATGGATATGTTGTTAGCAGGAGTTGATACTGTAAAATTGAATACTATCTTAAAAAAAAAAAATTCACATGATCGATTATATATTTTAAATATATTTTGCAGACATCAAATAGTACAGCATTTTTGCTGTATTTTCTGGCTACGAATCAGAAATGCCAAAACAAACTTCGTGAAGAAATCAGAACAATTCTGCCAAATAAGGATTCACATGTAAATAACGAATCATTTCACCATTTGCCGTATTTGAGAGCTTGTATGAAAGAGTCGAGTAGAATATTGCCAATAATTGGAGGCACTGTTAGAAAAGTACCAGTCGATATTGTTTTATCAGGATATCAAATTCCAATGGGGGTAAGATATAAAATAATTACATCTTAAATATATGATATTCATACACTGCACAATACTTGGCGGTAAATAATATCAATGAAGTTAAATTCAAACTTGTTTTTTATCAGACCGAGGTGGTTCTAAGTCATCTTACTACATCAATGAAAAGCAGTCAATTCCCTGAACCTGAAAAATTCATGCCAGAACGATGGCTGAGCAGCCAGGAATCAGAAGGATGTCCTTTAGCAAAAAATGCTCATCCATTTTCGCACATGCCATTCGGCTTTGGGCCTCGCAGCTGCGTTGGGAAAAGATTTGCAGATTTGGAAATGGAAACTTTTATAATGAAATTACTTAGAAATTATAAAATTGAGTGGAATTATGGTGAATTAAAAGTAACGACAAAACTTGTCGCTCATCCAGAAACACCACTGAAGTTTAAATTAACTGAAATTTAATTGTATCGCCTTATACATATATTGGAAAAATAAATCAAAAATAAATAAAAATAAAACAAAATCTCTTAAATATTATTTCTGAAAACTAATACAATTTATAAATATCAATATTATGTTAAAATATACTTATTTAACAATCTTTCAAATTTTGCTCGAATGAAATTTATTTATGATAGATATTCGAAGATCAAAATTAATGATGACCATTACATTATAAATATTTATATATTTTATTGTTTCCAAACTCTATCAAATAATGAATTAGTCAAATTAGTCAAATATTATATATATCAAAAAAATTAAGTCAATAGATAACAAACGATTATTATCAGTTATTTTTGAAAAATTCAATATAAAACCATAATCATTCCGCTTTAGCAAATTATCTCACGCGACCATGACAATGATTAAGCTAAAAATATTTTCAATTAGGCAGTGGTAGCAAACCATGAAAAAGTTCTTCTAAATATACTTGAAATAAGGAGGATATTTGTGATAAAATTTTTACGATCAGAATAAACAAATGTGTTACTTGTACAGTGTTATATAGATTATGTATTCAAACAGATATTTCTATTCCAAAGATTAAATTATATTTTTAATATTTTTTTAGGTTTCATTTTTTACGTAAATATTACATATTTCAAAATCTCTTCATTCAGTGCAAAATTACTGAATTTATTTAAAACTAAATATATGCATATTAAGGTGTTGGAAATTAAATTTGCAATTAATTAACCTGATATTAGAAATTAAACCATACATTTTACTAATTACTTTTTGATTTGAAACTATATATTTAGAGCCTGTTGATATATAATGGTCCAACAGCAACCTTTTGAATATTCGTGTTTCTGTAAGGCTGAAAAATTTTGTACTGATGATTCTTAACGTGCTTTTAGCCCTGCACATCATATAATAATCGTCCGGGCACTTGAAAGTGTAAAAAACCCGAAAATTAAACTTGTTCCTGTAAGCTTCAAAATTTTATACGATGTAATTTATTCAATAAGATATTAAAAATCATAATCACAGTCGATTTCAACCTGTGTGTGTGTAATTTTTTTATCAACATCTGCTCAATATGGTGGGGACGAATATTAGCGTACGGGCCAACAGTTTTTTTTATTAAAAAATATTTCCGTGAGTCAGATATCAATTAGTTGTTGTTTTCAAACATTGTGATAAGTATCCAGTATTAAAACATTTTTTTAAAATTAACAAATACGTGATTTTTATATTCGTTTATATATGTTCTTTACTTTATAGTGTTGAATAATTTTTATTTTGTTATTAAATATTATACCACAATATTTACATCTGTGCAATTATGTAATTCATGCTAAGAAAAATACAATAATTACTTATCTGAATTTTACGTAAAAGTTTTGTTTGTGAAAATTACAACGTTGAAAATGTTTACTTTAAATTCTTTACATTTTTCTAAAGCTGCTAGTTGTGTTTCTTTGGAAGTAACACGTTTACCAAAAACAAATATCTCAAGGGCAGCAAGACAATTGGCAACCTTGGCAGAAGTGCAAAAAGTAATATTATAATGTGAATCTTTTGAAAATTATTATATCACACAGCAAATATTGCATTTAATTTTAGGAAAATGTACAGAAATCGCGGATATCATGGAGCGAAGCAAAACCGTTTTCAGAAATACCTGGTCCAGAATCTGCTTTAAAAAGTTTGCGAAACTTTTTGCCAGGAGGTAATGATTACATATTTGCAGTAAATACTTTTTTTCAAATGTGGATAACTATATTCGCATATTATTTTAAATAGGAAAATTTCATAAAGTAGCTTTAAAAGAAATGCATGTAATGATGAACGAAGAATACGGAGATTTGGTCAGATTTAAAGGATTTCTAGGAAGAAGTGATATGATTATATGTTACGATCCGAAAGATTTTGAACATGTAAGGTTATTTATATTAATAGATCTAATTATATTTTTCCATGTCACAATTTTTCAAAACAAATTTTTTTTCAGGTTTATCGAAACGAGGGTCCATGGCCCCATAGAAGAGAATTTGAAACATTCAGACACTTCAGAAAAGATTTACGTCCTGATGTATATGGCGATAATGCTGGGCTTCTAGTAGAGTATTTATTGTTTCATAATAGTTGATATTTTAAAAATAAATATTTATTTTACATTTATTGAACTTTCTAGACATGGCGAAAAATGGAAAGAACTTAGAGGAATGGTAAATCCCGTCATGATGCAACCAAGAGTGATCAAACCATACGTCAAACCTGTGGAAGAAGTAGCTGAAGAATTTATTGAAAGGTAATATAATTTGTTTAAATAAAAATTAATTTGTTATAAGTTTTTATTTTTCGGTAGAATAATTCAGCTACGTGATTCAAAGAACGAAATGCCAAATAATTTCCTAAACGAATTGAACAAATGGTCTTTGGAATCAATTGCACGTATTTCCTTGGATTCGAGATTGGGTTGTTTAGTAGATGACTCCAAATTAAATTCAGATTCCAAAAATATGATACAAGCGGTGCACGATTTCTTTGAATGTTCATTCAAATTAGAAGTTCTTCCATCATTGTGGAAATATATCAGAACACCAAATTATACCAAATTGATGTCAGCACTTGATACAATGACTAAGTAAGGTTGTCTAAATTTTCAATTCATTAAAATTTTGAAATATTCTATAACATATTTTTATTCAAAGCGTATCACTGAAAAAAATTGATGAAGCAGTAGACCGCATCAACAATAATCCAGATTCCAAACCAGAATCAGAAATGAGTGTTTTGGAAAAGCTTCTAAAAATTGACAAAAATGTTGCAGTAATTATGGCTATGGACATGTTGCTTGCAGGAGTAGACACAGTAAAACATAACTAACTACATAATTCATGAAATATCATCAATTTGCCTTTAAAACCATACATACTCAAATGCAACATAAAGACAAATTGCTTCTGCCATTTAATTTGTGTTATATTCAACTTGTCAATCATTGTACATTGATTGTTTAATTTTTACAGACTTCTAATACAACAGCAATTTTTTATATCTTCTTGCTAAAAATCAAGCATCTCAAGAAAAATTACGAGAAGAAATTCTAACAATACTGCCTAATAAAGATTCTAAATTGACAACCGAATCCTTCAATAAAATTCCTTATTTGAGAGCTTGTATGAAAGAAGCAAATAGAGTGTTGCCAATTGCCGGAGGCACAATGAGGAAGATACCAGTTGATCTTGTTTTATCAGGATATCAAGTAAAAGGGGGTAAGGTCATCAATGATATGAAAATTTACAAGATTTTATGAATAATATTTTATCTTTTCCATTAGACTGAAGTGATCATGAGCCACATAACTACAACTGCCAGAGAAAGCCAATACCCGAACCCTGACAAATATATTCCAGAACGTTGGTTAACCGGTGAGGCTTCTCAAGGTTGCCCTTCTGCCAAAAATGCCCATCGGTTTGTTTACATGCCCTTTGGGTTTGGGCCAAGAAGTTGCGTTGGTAAAAGATTTGCAGATTTGGAAGTCGAAACATTAATTGTTAAGATACTCAGAAATCATAAAGTCGAATGGAATTACGGAGAATTGAAAGTAGAAGCAAAACCGTTGGCGATTCCTATTACACCACTTAAATTCAAAATAACTGAATTATAGATTTTTAATGATGAAAAAAAACTGTTTGTTTAAAACAACAACAAAATCCAATTCACTAGCTCCGCAAAATCTTAATTTTATAATATATGGCATTACAGGTATTTACTGAAATAAAATAAAGTTCAAAGTTTCGAATTAAACAATGGTTTTAAGAGATTTTATATTGTAGATAAAATTGTTTAGAACCAATTGGTCTTAAGATTAATTTGTACGTATGTACATTTCACACGATTAACTAATTTATTTATATATTCATGTGATATGGATGATTTCTATGTTGGCTAAAGTTTGAAAAATTCCATGTTGTACCATTTAGAGTGCCCGAATCTCATCCAAATATGAACGACCCCCACTAATTTTGGAAAAACGATCCGCGCATGCCCTAGGTCCTCCCACCCCCCTGAGACCTCAAATTGCAAAAAAACAACATTTTTGGCACCCATACAAATCGACCTGCCCAAATGGTAAAGGTTATTCACAAGCATTGACTAGACATAAATGAATTGTTACGTATATTACATAATAATTATATCAAAGATTTGTCAATAATTGCAAATTAATTTACAATAGCAGTTGTAATGAATTTGAAGAAATGACACGAAATTTTAGGGATAAATCCGATGCCGTGTGTAAAGGAGACCAAACTCTTCTCTTTTTATTTGATATATACAATTGAAAATTTAATATATATAAGTAAATTTTAGTAAATATTTAATCACTTACCTATTTAAACATAGGCGTTCTTCAGCAATACACTGAACACATCAAAAAATATCTAATTCAAGGACTAGTACACGTAATTTCACTCACTGATAACAAAGTCTTTAATACGAAATATTACGTAATTTTTAGAATTCTACAAATTTCTATTTTATTCAAATAAACTTATATATTTAAACTACCAGAAAGTGACATTTAATAATGAATTTGATGTTATGCAAAATGTCAGTTACAAGTCTATACAGTGTGAAGTAAACAACAAAACAAACATTTTTGACAGGGGCGGTTTAAGCAACTAAAAAATGGCATTGTCACCAACATTATAGCTTAATATTTGCTAAGTTCGTCTGAGTGAGTCTGGACTAAATTAATTAATTTACAAACAACAATTGTTTGTTAAATTGTTAGATAAACATACTTGTTTATCTATGTTAATTAATTAATGATTATTTGCAACTTTTAACCGGTTTAAGTAACTACAAAATGTCATTGTCACCAACATTATAGTTTAATATTTGCTAAGTTCATCTGAGTGAGTCTAATTAACTAAATTAATTAATTTACAAACATTAATTGTTTGCTAAATTGTTAGATAAATATACTTGTTCATCTATGTTAATGAAT